TCTTAATATACATATATATAGAATTATACTAATACACGTCGCGTTACGGATAAGGGTTTTTACGGAGGTTACAATACAAGTTAAGCAATAATATATAATTGGTCCCTTCACTCGGGAAAAATATATATATATATATTATTGGTCCTTTCAATGTCTCTGAACCAATATTAATTTATTTCTTCAATTATTTATTTTTTATTAAAATTATCATTAAATTAATTTTTTAATTTTTTGATATAATTTTATTTGTTAATAAGTTTGGTTTTTTAATATATGAATTTTGGAATAAAATTTTAGAACATCAATGTTTTTTTTTAAAAATATATTATTATAATTTATGCAATAAATTATTTTTATTTAAAATAGTGTTTTATTTTTTAATATATATATATATATATATATATATATATATATATATATATATATATATATATATATATATAGAGAGAGAGAGAGAGAGAGAGAGAGAGAGAGAGAGAGATTTCTAGAATTTATCGAATCAATTTTGTTGTAGTTTTTATTTTAATTTATTGACTTAAATATATTTCTACGAGTTTAGATGAGTTTTTTTTTGTATATTTTTCTATTTATTCTATATACTCGAATCATATATATATATATATATATATATATATATATATATATATATATATATATATATATATATATATATATATATATATCATTAGTTTTGTTAAAAATTAAATATATATAGATTCGATTTATATTAATCACTAAAAATAAAACTTTCTATTCGCATTATATCGTACGAATCGTTAACCCTATGTATATAACGATTGTCCGACTAGAGTGTAGCGCGGGTATCCAACTAGTAAAACTAAAAGATCCGAGGTTTTTTAATACTAAAATTACCGTTCATTTTGCATAGTGCTTGGTTCATTTTTTTCCCCTCCATGTTTTCCTTCTTTGCTAATCTATAGTAATTAACTAATTCTCGCCTTTCTTACTTGCTTTTATACTAAGTCATTTGTTCGCGGCAAACTCATGACTCGCTTGTTGCATTTGATCGGGTTTTTAGGATAAAAAGGGTGCTATTATTTATAAAAATGTAATTATTCTTGAACATATCGGTCCTTATAAGGAAGCATTTGGAGCATTTGCTACACAAAATCTTAAATGCTATCATGAAAAGTAATGGTTGAAAATGTGAAGTATTTGATTTATATTAAGAAATTCATGAAAAATTTAAACAAATTTGTTATTTATTTCCAAAGTTTAAAATATCTAATTTCAAAAAAATAATGTTTTTTTTTTTTAATGTCTATAAGCACATGCATATTATATAAAATATTACTATCACATAACATAATTTAATAATTAACAATTACATAACATTTATTTCTCAAAAAAAAAAAAGTACATATATTATACTAAAGATTTTAGCACTAAAATAAGATACTTTTGCATTATTAAAAAAATAGGATATACCGATCCATTTAATATTCATAGTTGGTGCATTTTAGTAAATAAATTATTTTAAAATATATTTTCATTATTGTTTTTTGTAATTTTCAAATTATTTAATTTTGGTCCTTAAAATTTTAAAATAAAAATGTCAATTCCCTAACTCATGCACTCGCACATGCCTTTTCTTTCTTCTTTTTTTCTTTGGTTTTTTCCATCAATTTAAGTTTTTTTTTTAATTTAATTGAGTTTTAAAATTTTGAAAAATCATTTTTTTCCTTTGCTTTTTTTTGAATTAATTTATGTTCTTTTGTTCTAAAAAAATTTATTGGATGTTAAAATTTTGAAAAATTAATCGTAATTTTTTTTCCATACAAACTGATATTTATATAATATATCTTTTTATAGTTTAAAATTAACATATACTTTAGCTTATATTACTCTTGTTATTTAAATTTCATTCTTTGCATTTATCATTTTTTTTATGAAAATTCTCATCTAATTAATATTTTTTATATGAAATTTTATTTACTGATATTATATAATTTATTTTTCTCTATATTTGAATTTTAGAATAAAATTTTAAAACATGATTATTTTTTTAAAAAAATAAATTGGTATATTATATCATCAATTCTTAGAATTTTTAAATGATAGTTGCATATATGTAAATATATAAGTATTTTATTCTAAAAGGTTAAAAGTATATTTTAAATAATTTTCTCGATTCACCAAATATTGTCAAGACTTATAAAAAAACTTATTGAATCTTTGATTTTATTAAAAATTAACTATATATCATCCAACATAATACAAATTATTTACTATAAATAATTTTTTTTAAATTATAGAACCAATTTATTTTAAATAATATAATTAAAGTAAGTTTTTAAAGGAACCAACCAATTATTCAAATACCTTCTTTTATGCTAATTTTATTGATTATTTTATAAATAAATATATATAGATCAAATGCATATACTTGAAAAAAAAATTCTTCTCACCAATATTAAATAAGAATAAAATTTTATTTTTTTATTGGTTAATTTTTATGCAAGTACATACATTAATTATAAATTTATTTTTTGGATACATTCTTATTTAAAAATATATAATTTTAAAGTATTTATTTTTGAATTCTTAAAAAAATATTTTACGTTTAAATTGTTACAAATTTTTATTTAAGAATCCCTAAATAAAAAAGAATAAATTATGTTTTTTTTAAGAATAAAATTTTATGAAAAACAAAAAAATTAAATAAAAAATTATAACATTTTCAAATGATTTTGTTCTATTTACCCATAACGTTGCGCGGATAATTTCAAAAATTAATCTTCTCATTAGTATTAAATAAGAGTTTTTTTGTTGTTTGTTAATTTTTATAAAAGTCTATCCATTAACTATAATTTTATTTTTTAAAATACAATATTGTGAAAATTATATTTTTAATTTTTTTTTCAATTCTTGATTGATATTTTAGTTAAAATTATTACAATTTTTAATTTTAAAATCAATCCATAAAGAAGAATACTTTATGTTTTTTTAATCAAAAAATTTTATAAAAAAATATTAGAAAAAGTTAATTAAATAAAATATTATAATTATTTTTTAAAAAAATAATTTTGTTCTACTCGTATCGGTGACATAGTGCGGACAACCGACTAGTTTTTAACTATTTATCATTTAGAAGTTCATCATAAAGTTTCATGACATGCTGCAAATTTATTTAAACAGCTTGGTTTAGCTAAACGATCTATTTTTCAGTTTTCATAATTTTTATGGTGGGAAGATTTTTTTTCTTTAGAAAAAGAAAATCTAAAATTAAATAAGATTTTTATGGTTTTAAATAGTTATCATTACATAATATAACAATTGTTACTTAATAAAATTAGCCAACACTGCTAATATTTTTGCTGCTAAACATAATATAATTATGTTTCCGTCAATAAAAATATTATATAAAGATAATAGTTATTTTTGTTGTTGCGTTAGGAATAAATACCGTTATCTTATTATCTAAAATTTTGTTATTATTTTTTATTAAGACATTCACAATATTAATTATTATGAGCGTTATTTTACTATCATAATAAATTACAATCCGTGATGCTATTACCCATTAACCAAAAAAAGAGAAAATCCAATGCCTAGAATAGAAGTGTCATAATTCATAAAACCAGTTATAGATACATGAACGTAAAGAGGCCCAAACAAAACTAAGCAAGGCGAACACTCATTGTTAGTCCAGACAATCCAAAGCTCCAAAAGCATGCCGAGTTTTGCATGTGAATTGTCGGTTGATATGGTAAATGGATTTCTTTATATTCTTATCTTGAGTTTGAATAAAACAAGAACATGGATAATGGATTCCTCTAAGAAGATTTAGCCTTGATGCTCCAAACTTTACCCTAAAGATAATCTCTTCTTTTTTTCTTTTTTTCTTTTTTAATAGATAATCTAATCTTTAAAAGATGGAAACTTTTAACATTTACGCAATAACTTATGGTTTTAAGACAAGATTTCATTCTCACTTAATCACTTCAGATATCATTGCAAAGTAACCAAACCCAACCTCGACAACACATGTCAAACCCATCAGCCATTGAGGGCATCAAGAACCAAGGGCAGGCAAGAGCATGAGGATTGGGCCCTCACCAATTAAGGATAATCTACCGTGTGTCGGTGAGGATAAACAATAAATAGCAATCCAATGATGAACTTCTAGAACTGAAAATGAACAGTCCAAAACCCATGTGAATACATAAATATAGATAGATAGATGATTAAGAAGAACCCAACTCATAATACTAAGTATTACCTCTCTAATATGATTATAATTCCAAAATTCCCCAATTAAGACACTGTTCTCACACGGCGAGCTGAAGAATCTAATTAAAGTAAAAGAAATTCAAGAAACCTAAGCATAGCCAACAAGCTTAGAGAAATGAACGAACATGGAGAAATTTACAACTCATCAATCACACTTTTTTAGCCCATTATTTCTCCATTCCTACACCCTATAAAAGAAACAGAACCATCTTTGTCGTAATTAATCTTTAACCCCACAACACAACACAACAAAAGATTATTCATATTTCACACCCTCTGTTCCTCTTGTATTTCTCTCACATTTCTTGTCTCTCCCCCTCTCTCTCTCTCTCTCTCTCTCTCTCTCTCTATCTATCCAAACGCAGGGCCTGTTGTGTTTCAGATTTCTGAATGACATTTGGTTGAGTTTTAGGAATCTGAAATGTGACTGGTTGGTTCTGATCTAATCTGGGTTTGGTGAAGAGAGAGAGAGAAAAAGGTATGGAAATTCAGAGAATTAAGGAGTTGTTACTCCTTTGGTGTAGAATCAAAAGCACTCGTGTGGCCCTCGTGGGTGGAAACCATACAGCTTCCAGGTTTTGTACTCGCTAAGGATATTTCTTTTCTTGTTGTTTTGGCTTCAATTCCTTCAAAGAATCAATCTTTGTTTATGTATCGAAGTTCTTCACTTTTGCTACTTAGAAAAAAAGCTTGAAACTTTACGTGATTGTGGATTCAAATTCATTGTTTTGAGTGAGAGATTAGAGATGGATTGGGCTCGCGGGCTTTCAGCCAAGGATCTAAATGAGATCAAGCATTTGCAGAATGGAGGGATTGGCTTGAATTCAGATGCCATTTTGGTGCTTAAGCTTCCTGATTCACGAGTAATGCGTGTCGTCTCTCGCTCGTTGTTTTTTACTATGGTTATTCTGACATTGCCATTCATGGGGTCCATTTTAAGGGAGCTTAATTCAAGTTCTTGTTTTGATGCCTCCGGTTCTGCCTCAATTGATCTTGAATTCTTCGATTTGCTGTTGCGAGATTTGGCCAGGGAGGGCCTGATCAAGAAGGGCGATAAAGCTCTCATTGTTAGCTCTGGAGTTGGGGCCGTAGTTGATAGTTCAAGATTCTTTAACGTCAATGACATTGACTTCATATCGGAATCTGATTTGGAGCAGGAAAGCTTGTTCCCGAATGCATCATTTGATTTTGCTTTGACATTGTCCGTTGAAGATACTAAACATGTCGATCGTATTGTGAAAGTTGGAGGCATTTTGGTTACTCAATTGAGCAATGACCCCTCAAATGCGTTCCAAAAGCTGTCAAATTATAGAGTTGTGTATCTTCGGCGATATGATTCAACCATCGTGGCAATGAGGAAAACAGGTTTGGTGAATCAGGTTGTGATGTCCTCGACAAAGAGGCGGCCTTTGCAGCTGGCATTGGATGCTAAGAAAGCAGCATTGCTAGGCTTGGAAGATGTTATGCTTGAGCCACCGCGAAAGGCTCTGGCAAAATCTAGAATGTACTTGAAGAGTTTCAATTATCTTCCCGACTTAATGGGAGATTCTTTAGAAGGTTTCTCGCGCCGAGTTTTCATCGACGCAGGCTTGCAGGAGGAGGAGAACGGTGCAATGCAATGGTTTAACGAAAACTATCCAACCAGGAATCAAGACTTCGAGTTTCACCGCATAAACATGTGGCCTGAAGGAAATACCAGGAAGGCGGCATCACCTGCTGATGTTTCGAATTGGTTGATGAAGAATGTGAGGGAAGGTGAGTTTGTTGTGATGAAAGCAGAAGCAGAAGTAGCAGAGGAGATGATGAAGAGGAAAACTATTGGTTTGGTGGATGAGTTGTTTTTGGGGTGCAACAACCAATGGGAAAAGGGGAAAAGAAAGAAGAGCAAGAGGGCTTATTGGGAATGCGTAGCCCTTTATGGAAGGCTGAGAGATGAGGGGGTTGCTGTGCATCAATGGTGGGATTGAGAAGAGGAGAGAAACAGACCCTCATAGCTAGTTTCTAATGGTGTAGTGTGTTTGTTTTTGTTGTGTTTTGAATTTTCAGTGGCCAAACCCATTGAAGGGTTTCGCAAATCCAATAAAGAATGTTGTTAAGTGGTAGTGGGGTTTTGTTAGTCATTGAAAGAAGCACAGCATCTGATTTGCTGTTGAGATCAGGGACAGGAATTATGCTGCTCCCTTTGACTCTTGTTTCTGTCACTTCTTGATTAATGTATGAGAATAAATATTATTGAATTCTGAAGTGCTCTTTTGCTGATTTCTGTTAATCTCATATTATTTTACCTACTTTGTTATTAATTTCTTTAATTTGTTGCCCTCACTTTCTCCTTCAATTAACTCTTAATATATTTGCCTCATTTATTCTTTTTTTTTTTTCCTCAGCAACTTGCTCATATATATATATATATATATATAACCCTTCCTTATGTATTGTTTCGCCTTCATTTTTCATGGGAAAATTTTGACTTGTTTTCATGGCATTTGCACTGATCATGATTTCCAAGAGTCAAGAGTTGCGTTGTGGACAAACAGAATACTTGCAATTGTTTGAAAACTATTTTAGCCTCTACTAGTTTGTTATCTGTTATAAAACTAAATTATCTTAATTTGATTCTCAATATTATGTTGTAAATCCATTAAAATATATTAAATTAAAGGTAAAATAAAAAAAATTTTAATTAAAATCTTGTATTTAATCGATTCTTTTTATGTTTTCATACATTAAAAAAATATATATATTTTTTGTACATATTGATTCTCAAATAAAAATATATAAGAATCTAAATAGAAAATTGAATCCAAAATTCTTTAAAAAAAAACCTTAATTTTTTTTTCCATAAGGTTTTATTAAAAAAAAAGTTACAATTAACATAAAAACTTGTTTAAAAATTAACAAATAAAAAATTAAATTTTTATTCTTATTTAATATAGATGAGAAATATATATATATATATATATATATATATATATATATATATATATATATATATATATATATTCAATCACAAAATAATCAATAATATAACATTAAAATCTATATTTGAATAATTGGATGGTTCTTATAAAAAATTATTTTATTTAAAAAAACTAATGTTTAATATTCAAAAAAATTAATATTAAATAATTGAAGTTACGTGTGTAGATGCATAGTTAATTTCTAATAAAATCGATTATCCAAATTGTTTTTTTATATACATCATGATTATATTTAGTTGGTTTAGATATCGCAGCTTAAAACGACTGTGTGTGTGTGTGTGTGTGTTGCTCTCGTTTAAAAATAATAAGAATTCATTATATAAATCATATTAATGTATTTAAAAAAAAAACTACATATAGAGAGAAAAATAAATCATACTTGCTTAAAAAATAAAATTATATAAAAAATAAATTAAGAAATTAATTTGATGTTTTCGTAAAAATGACAAATCGAAGAAATCATCATAAAAACTAAAAGCAAAACAATAAAAAATGACAAATCAAAGAAATTACATTTCTTCATTGCTAGACCGTATGAAAGGTAAAAAAAAAAATAACTATTATTTTTTCATAAATTTAGCACAAAATCTATAATAGAAAACAATAAAAACAAATGTTTGGAAAAAAAAATCCAAGGATCAAAACGCAATATAAATAAAGTTGGAGAAGAAAATAAATCTTTTGAAAATATTAGGGTCTAAAATGTGACATTGAGTAAAAATTGAATATAAATGCTTAATTGAAAACTATCTCTTTCGTTTATTCAAATTGGATGAATTGTTTAACACTCGACTTAAATCAACTAGAGATCGTAAATATAGGTGAAGCTCCTAGGCCTCCTCTCTCTTTCTTCCCATTTGCATTCTTATAGGAGATTGTTAGGCCGTTTGGAAATTTTCTACATTCGATGAATGCACACCGAATGGTTCGAATCCTATGCATTCTAGAGTCTTTATGGAGGTGGATCCGATCGCTATTACTCCCTCAAGAGTATGGATTTTAGTTGGTCTAGACAAATCAAAAGGCTTTTGGCAACCCATATTGGTTAAATCCAATATATCTTTATGCAAATATTGTCATCTACATGGACATGCAAAAGGCAACTATCGGATACCCTGAATAATGCCCAAGCACCGGTTCGAAAGCTCTTCCAAGCAACAAAAGAGGTATCTACAGAGAAGACATCTAATGAACAAGTTTGGCAAACCGTCCGAAGAAAGCCAAGATGTAGAAGGTATCCGTTGCTCAATGTTGCTACAAAGAAAGGTTCGACCTATTTTAATCGGTGATGAAGTAACCTCGAACCCTTCAAAGGGGAAAAAGGATCGATGATAATCCAAAAATAGCTTCTTATTCTAAAGTGAAAGAAATGGTTGCTCTAATGGAGGTAGACAAAAAAAGTAGTAGTATATCCTACTATAAGTGATAGTTGTCAGTTGAATACACATGATAATGTTGATAATACAGCCTGACCTCCCACGGAAAATATATCTTCGATTGAAGCACATGTAGGACCTAATGTTGACATGCAATAGGAGTTTACCACGCTAAATAATTTCAACTCTCTAAACATGTTGGAGCATCATAGTAAGGATGATAGTGCTCTAAATGAATATGTTGAGGGTGATCTCTCTCCCCATGTTGCTTCAAATGGTATATTGGATAATAAATCTTGGGTGGATTTGGCATTTAAAGACAGTCTAGAGCAAATGGAGAAAAAATGTAAAATGATGTCTAAGAAACAAAAAAAGAAATTACGTAAAAGTCTAGTTCGGAGTAATTTAAAGTGTATTATTAAATCGGATGAAGATCATAATAGAGAACCATTTCTCCCTTTGTCTTATGAAGAGCTTAATTTGGAACTTAAGCGGTATTTATGTCCTAGGAAAAAAAGATATGACAACTCTTCTTATTGTCTTAGAACCTAAGCGGATGGGTGATAAGCTTATAAAATTTGCCGAGTCTCTTCGGCTTTTAGATTTTTTACATGGCAACCATATCAATAAACACATTTGAATTCTTGGGAAAGGCAACCTTTTGGTGGATTTATAGTTTGTGTCTCTTATAGTTGGTATTAAGGACTTGGTTACTAACAAAGAACTATTGTTCACTTTAGTCTATGCTAGTTGTGATTGAGTAAAACATAGGAGTCTCTAGGATAATCTTCACTCACTTAATGTCTCTTTATTGTGGATTATTGGAGGTGATTTTAATGCAATCATAGACATCTCCGAAAAGGTTGGTGGTTCTTAATTAGGGTTGGGGTCTATATTCGACTTTAATCGTGGCATTCAACTTCTTAGGGTCTAAGATATTGGGTATACTGGAATCAAATTTATCCGGAGCAATAATCAAGAGGAAAGATCTCATATTTGGAAAAGGTTGGACGTGGTGTTAGTTTACGATGCTTTCATATCTACTCTTCCTAGGTTAAATTGTTCTCATCTAGCTCACTTACATTTTGATCATTATCCTTTTGTATTGTCTTTTGCTTTGGATAACCCTAAACTTATGAGATTTTCTTTCAAGAAAATATGGATATCTCATGCTAAATTTCTTCTATTTGTACATAGTATGTGGGCTACAACTTACGATCGGGATCATTTTCTTAATTTACAACTTAAACTCAAAGCTTTGAAGGGTGATTTGAAATCTTAGAATTAGGGGTTTTTGGAGATATTTATTAGAAAAATAACCAAGCTAAGGATGAGGTTATTCAAATCAAACCTACTTTATAGGTTTTGTGGAGTTCGATAATTATGCTAAATCAACGGAAGCCAAAAAGAAATTAGCTAGGATAGTGAATCAAGAAGGACAATTACTATAAGAGAATTCCCTAATCAAATGGCTTGAAATAGGGATTGCAACAATGCTTTCTTTCATGCTTGTGGTCATAATTGATCAACCAAATCTAGGTTTGCTTTTGCTTTGGATGATGGAACTTTATGTATTAAGAATATGATTATTGGAAATGCTATTATAGAATACTTTCAAAAAATATTTATGAGTGACCCTATTATAATGGATGACACTTTCCTGAATGTTGTGGATGACACTTGCCTTTATTGGTAACGGACTCGAAAATGATGAATTGATGGCTATTCCATCACTAGAGGAGATTAAATTAGCGAGTGTTTGAGCTAAATGAGCTTAATGCTTCGGGTCTAGATGGCTTCACAGGAGCTTTTTTTATGTCTTACTAGGACATTATTTACAAAGATATGGTCTTAGCGATTTAAGATGTCTTTAGAGGAGGAGATATCCTAAAGGGAATTACTATTACTTCTATGGTGTTTATTCCTACATGTCCATGATTGAAAAACTTCTCGGACATAAGGCATATTAATCTATATAAATTTACTTATAAGATCTTATCTTACATATTTATAAATAGATTGAGTGTGATATTGTCGAATCCGATATCAAATAAGTGGTCGTGGCTTGTGAAAGAAAGACGGATTCATAAGAGTGTTTCTTTAGCTTAATAATTATTTAATGATATCGATACAAAAATTCATGGAGGGTAATGTGATTTTCAAAGTGGATATGTCTAAGGCTTATGACAGATTAGAGTGGCATTTTCTTCTCAAAGTGATATGGTAATTTGGCTTCTCTAACGGTTGGTGTGATCCGATTTTCAAATCATTAAGTAACTCGTTGGTACTTTATCTTTCCGAACTCCAAATCATTTGGTTTTTTTAAGTGCTTTCATGGGGTGCGATAGGGTGATCCATTGTCTCATGCTCTTTTTATCCTAGCTTAGGAAGTTTTTAATAGAAGTTTGAATGCCCGGATTATGAATGGTTCCATTATCCCTTACTACATTGGATGCAACTCTATCACTTGTCTGTCATTTATTATTTATAGATGACATGTTGCCATTCTATAATGGTGGAAAGAAGACTATTGACAAATTGATGTCCCTTCCGAATTGTTATTCCTCTCGCTAGTGGTCAAACTATTAACTTTAGTAAGAGTTCTATTCTTTG